TCATTTAAGACAGTGGTTCTCAACCTTCCCAATGCTGCGAACCTTTAATACAGTCCAAAGGGGTTGCAACCCATAGGTTGAGAATCGCTGATTTAAGAAATGAGATCTTTCCCAGGCTGGAGTGCCATGGCATGATCATAACTCATATAGCCTCAAACTTCTGGGCTCAGGCAATCATCTTGCCTTAGCCTCTTGAGTAGGTGGGATTATGGGTATGAACCACTGAGATTAGCATTTTACTTTTATTTTTAATTGATAAATAATAATTGTATTCACCAGATTATTTTAAAGCAAATCTCTGGCCAGGCACAGAAGGATCACTTGAAGCCAGGAGTTCAAGACAACCCTGGACAACAGGGTTGAGATGACAGACCTCATCTCTACAAAAAAAAAAGTAGGTAGACATGGAGGTGTGGACCTGTAATCCTACCTATTTGGGAAGCTAGAGCAGGAGGATCTCTCCTACAGGGAAGCTACAGCAAGAGGATCACTTGAACGCAGGAGTTTGAGGTTGCAGTGAGCTATAATGAAGCTAGTGGACTTTCACCTGGGCAACAGAATTAGACTGTGTCTCAAAACTAAACAAATAAATAAATAAAATTAAAATAGCAAATCTCACACTGTGTATTCTTTTGTCTACTAATACCTCAGATCTTATTTGTAACTAATAAGCAAACACAAACATCTTTTTAAAAGTTATTATATTTTCTTATTTTGTTTTGGTGGGTTTGTTGGTTTGCTATTTATTTCTTGTGGTAAAATATACATAATGAATTTGCCATTTTAACCATTTTTAAATGTCCAATTCAGAGGCATTAAGCACAATTATGTTTTTGTATAACCACTACCATCCATCTCCAGAATTCTTTTATCTTACCAAACTGAAGTTCCATACCCATTAAATAATAACTTCATATTCCATCATCCTCCAGCCATTCTCCCTTCCATCTCCATGAATTTCGGCACTCTAGGTACCACATATAAGTGGAATCACACAATATTTGTCTTTTTGTGACTGTCTTATTTCACTCAGGATAATCCTTTAAGATTCATGTATGTTGTAGGTTGTGTCTGAATAATATACTGTCAATGAGCATAGGTGTGCAACTATCTTCTTGGGTTCCCACTTTCATTTCTTTTGGGTATATGCCCAGAAGTGGCTTTGCTGGATCACCTGGTAATTCCATGTTGAATTTTTTTAGGAGCAAACACATTTAAAAAAACATAACCACAGTTCTATCACACACTTAAAATTTAACAGTAATTTTTTAGGGGCATGGGCTTTATAGTTTCCCAAGATATAGAGCTATCATGGTTAACAGTCAAGCCAGTGAGTTTGCCTGCCTGGGACGTGGGCAGATCACTGAAATATCCTGTGCCTTAGTATCCACATCTATAAAACAGGAGAAATAATTTAAGTGAGTGTGATGGTTAATTTTATGTGTAAACTCGACTGGGCTAAGGAATGCCCAGATAGCTGGTAAAACATTATTTCTGGGTATGTCTGCATTTGAATCAGTAGACTGAGTAAAGAAGGTCTGCCCTCCTCAATGTTGTGGGTATCACTTAATCTGTTGAGGGCCAAAATAGAACAAAAAGGCAAAGGAAGGGAAAATTCTCTGTCTTCTTAACCTGGGCCATCCTTCTTTTCCTGCCTTTAGACCTGGGCTCTCTCAGCAGATCTGAGACCTTTGCAGCCTCCATAATTGTGATAGTTTCCACAATAATTATCTATATCTATGTATGTCCTATTGGTTCTGTTTCTTGGGAGAATCCTAACTCATACAGTAAGTTAATATACATGAAGCACTTTGGGCAGTGTCTGCTCATTGTTAAGTACAGTATAACCTTGGCTTTATTATACACTTGTCAGATATCAGTGTTGCCAATGAGAACTCTCATGCAAGTCTAATTTTTGCTCTATGTAGGTAGCCTAGGGCCAAATCCAAGATTCAGGGGCCTAAACTTTACTTTGTATAGAAAATACCACAAAATTAGACATACACACATCTCTCAGAAAACAGCAAATCATTAAGAGTCTTGGAGAGTCAAATCTCTTTTCTCTAGAGACTTCTCTAGCTGGTTGGTCTGAAGCACTTACAGGGGTGTCCTTGTTGATTTCAGCCTAGCTTTCCCTCTCCTCTGGGGCTGTTTGAGGTTTAAATGAGTTATTATATGAAATGTGCTTAGATCTGTTTCTGGTGTAGGTTAATGCCCCATGAATCTTAAATATAATATGATGTTTGGTAGGTCCATTCTCTGAGATGAAATTCTGGAAAAGGAGCAGCTCTGGGAGGAAGTTAGGGGAGAATATAGTGAGCCCATCCTGGGGAAAGAGTTTGCAGTGCTTATGAGAGATCCAAGAAATGATATCAGATACCACTCAGTAATGTCTGACGGTGATGATGGTAGTGGTGATAAGGGAGATAGATGATGGCTATTGATGGCCATGTACACTGGTCTCTGTATTGTTAGTGTGCCAACAGGCCAGCTGCTGGGGAGCTCTGAGGATGCAGGCAAGGGTTACTGTCAGCGGTTTCACCTCAAGGTGAGCGGACAGGGAGCTGTTTTGGAGTCAGAGCTTTCCAAATGCCCATAGTTGGCATCTCTATGGTGGGTGAGCCTGTGTCCACATTAGCATTCCCTCCTCTTTAGGTAGTTACTTCAGCTTTTCTTAGATAAGAGTCACCCGGCTTTTCAGCCTTGGGGGTTGTAAGGCGGTGGCAATAGGGTGAGACCTAGCTTTGCTTGCTTCAGTATGGGGAAGCTTGGAGGTGAGGGTGGGAGCCACAGCAGCCTGGTTAGTCATGTGCTGCACTACTTGGACCAGGGTTGGGGAAGGGAAGTGAGAGTGGCAGCTAATGCAAATATACCTTTCAGAGGTAATTTCAGCTGACTTCTTGCTCATTCCTACTCTCTGTTGCCTGTCTTAACAGGCAGCTTCTTTGGAGCTCTTCGAGTAGCCATCTCTTTCTTCCTTTGGAATCTCCCCCCATTTCCTGACTCTCTCTGTTTCACCACCCATAGCCTTCCACTCTCCACCCCTCCATCAGAAATTTGATGAGGTGTCTTATTCACTGATGGTCTCTCTCTGTGCTTGTCTTGGTTATGGGTTTATTCTTGTGCTATCATTTACTGGGTCTTGGCAGGGAGAGATGATAACTGCTAGTAGTCAGTTCTCTGTTTCTAGTGGATGCATTTCTACAGATATCTAAAAGTACCTTTTGCTTGAATATTCCATCTCTAAGAAAACAATCTATTCTTTGGTGTCAGAAGTGAAGGGCAACACTGTACCGCTAGTAAAGAATTATCTAAATCAAATATGAGCAGTGATGGTTGTCCAGGGGCATGTTTCTGTTATCATTAAATACACTTGGCTGCTGCTTTTGTTTATGGCGTTAGCAAACACAGGCTGTCCTGCCAACATCACTCAGGGCACTGAAGATATTTCAGTTTGCTCTCTGCCTAGTGATCTCTGCCAGCCTGAGACAAGGTTTTCTATTTTTTAAAATAAGTTGATTAAAAATGCTTATGTTTTACAAATACACAGTTACCAGTTTTGCTTCCTGGCTTTTACCACTTTGTTTTAGAACGATCAAGAACCTGAAATAGAGTCAAATCTTTCATGGTAAACATAGCCACACCATTGGCAAATCATATCACTATTCCCCACATTGTGGGAACTACCACAAAAAGCTTGAAAACTCTGTCCCGCAAAGCCACACACTTATTCATTCATTTGAAAAGCAACATGGACCATAAACAGAAAATCTGTAGGAGCAAAACATAGGCTGAAGCCCGGGGGTAACTGAAATCAGTACTTTGGTGGAATCATTTTTTCAGCCTTCTCTTAGCTTTAGTTAAGGTACTTAGGTGTGCGTATTCCCGGCTTTGGGTGTTATCTTTGCTTTTGTATTAAAAAGCAGAGAAAGGTGGAGGGAGGGGAAACCTAATGAGGAATAAATAATGGAAAAGGGTGAAAAGAAAATTCTTTGTTTGTAAGTGTATTAGACCTTATAAACTTAAATAATCCACGGATCATTTCCATGGTAGACTGTTATGACTCCAAAAGAACCATTGTGCTAATGTAGCAGCTGCTAATCTTATGCACAAAGTCTGCGCACTAAATGCCCTTATGAAATTGGGAATGAAATATGGGAGCTGAGTATAGCCAATAACCATTTTTAAAAATAATGAAGTAATTATACCTCACTCTTCCACCAGCCTCCACCCAGATCACGGGGAGCTGAGTTGACCTAATGAACTAATTAGCTGAAA